CTTCTTTGTCCCCAATTAAGAAGCTCAAATTCACTTCTACTGAACTGGGTTTTAATCTTTTTGCCCAAGTGTTGTTGTTTTGGATCTTTTGTTTATGTTGGGGCCAAAAAGGATCAACCTTTATAGTTTTGAGAGAATTGGGTTTTCTGAGTTTATGTTCGATCTTCATCTTTTCAGTTTCTGGGTGTGATAAAGGTTTAAGCTTTATGGTTATGATCAGATAGAGAGTGATCTATTCGACCTTTATACTTCGAGAGAATTGGGTTTTCTGAGTTTATGTTCGATCTTCATCTTTTGAGTTTCTGGGTGTGATAAAGGTTTAAGCTTTATGGCTATTGTGATCAGATAGAGAGTGATCTATTCTAGGGTTGATTGAAGTGGGTTGCTTCAATTGACTTTTTTTTTTGGGATTTTTTTGGTGTTTGTGGTTTTGACTATGGTGATCTGAGTAGAAATTAGTGTTTATAGTTTGATGATGGCGACAAAGCAAGACTCTGTTAAGGTTGTTGGGAAGTTGGGTGTTGAGAAAGTTGAGAAAGGGAAGATGATTAGTAAAAAGAAGAATGTTAAGAAAGATGGAGATGAGAGTGAAAGTGGGTTTTGGTTTAGATTCAAGTTCATCTTTAGTTGTATCTCTTCTAGATCAAAAGTTGATAGTTCCATGAATGCTACTACTGTTATTGGTAAAATCTCCTTTTCCTTTCTATGCAGATTATAAAAGTTGAAGTTTGTTTTTATGTATGAATTTGTATAGATGACAAGGTTTATTCTATAGTAGTTGCTTTCAGATTGTGGTTTAGTTTTTTTTTTGTCTTGTCCTGACACTTGAGCTTGAAAGCTCATCATTTGTAGGATTGAAATTATATGGTAGAAGTTTTGTGTGTGTCAATTTTAAGATAGAGCCTTTTATGTTGCCACAATTGCTTTGAGACCTTTTTGCTGAAATAAAAAACTAGAGAGATTTCATTGTAGGATTCTGTAACAAGCCTTTATGTCCAGTGTGTAGTATTTTTACAATCTTCTCTGTCTTTCTGTTTATCTGCTGGACCTTTATCTTTGTTTGAGTGTGAGACTTGGTTTCGTCCTTAGTTCAGTTCTGTAGTACTCACTTTCGTTTTTGATATTCTGTTATATGTGTATAATTCAGCAGAACCTAAACAAGTTCTTGCGAAGAATGAAAGTCATCCAGCTCCAACTAAAGACATCGGCTCTGTCGAGAGTGGTTCCTCAACACCTTTAATCAGTGGGGAACTGAAGTATTCTTCTAAGCTAAGGATTTTCATGTTTAACGACCTTAAGTTAGCAACTAGGAATTTCAGACCAGAGTCTCTTCTCGGTGAGGGTGGATTTGGATGTGTTTTTAAAGGATGGATAGAGGAGAATGGAACTGCACCAGTTAAGCCTGGTACTGGTCTAACTGTAGCTGTAAAAACACTGAACCCAGATGGCCTTCAAGGTCACAAGGAGTGGCTGGTAATGACAAATCTTTTTACCTTGATATCGGTTACGGTCTTGTGCTTCAGTTTCTATGAACAATGTTGATGGATTTTTCTGTATATGTGCAGGCTGAGATTAACTTCCTTGGAAACCTTGTTCACCCTAGTCTGGTTAAACTGGTTGGCTATTGCATGGAAGAAGACCAAAGACTGCTCGTTTACGAGTTTATGCCACGAGGGAGTTTGGAGAACCATCTTTTCAGAAGTATGTCAACCATATACCACTGCACATCTTGTTCTTTCTTAGGACGTTAGGGATTCATATCTAACCACTGTATTTTTCTTTTTCATTTTTTTTTCAGGGACCTTACCTCTCCCATGGTCTGTTAGAATGAAAATTGCACTTGGTGCAGCTAAAGGTCTCGCCTTTCTTCATGAAGAAGCTGAGAAGCCAGTCATATATCGAGATTTTAAAACATCTAATATTTTACTGGATGCGGTATGTCTGAAAGCCAATGAACCCAATAAAAGCCTCAGATTCTTCATGCTTTCTCTATTTGTATATATTATAGAAAATTCTTCATATTTCAGGATTATAATGCAAAGCTCTCTGATTTTGGGCTTGCGAAAGATGCTCCAGACGAGAAAAAATCCCATGTATCAACCCGAGTCATGGGAACTTATGGTTATGCTGCCCCTGAATATGTAATGACTGGTAAGTCAGCTAAATTGGCTATCGCATTATCAATGTCTTTTGGCTATCGCATTATCAATCGAGGTTCTGGACTTAAATATTTTCAATATGAACATCAGGACATCTTACAACGAAGAGCGATGTATACAGCTTTGGAGTAGTTTTACTTGAAATATTAACAGGAAGAAGAGCCGTAGATAAAAGTCGGCCGAATGGGGAACAAAATTTGGTCGAATGGGTGAGACCTCATCTCTTAGACAAGAAAAGGTTGTGCCGGCTACTAGATCCTCGGTTAGAGGGTCACTACTCGATCAAGGGTGCTCAGAAAGCCACACAAGTAGCGGCACAATGTCTTAACCGAGACTCCAAAGCTAGACCGAAGATGAGTGAAGTTGTGGAAGCCTTAAAGCCGCTACCAAATCTTAAAGACTTTGCTAGCTCTTCTTCTTCTTTCCAAACAATGCAACCTGTTGCTAAGAACGGAGTCAGAACACAAGGAGGAGGGTTTGTGTCAAGAAATGGACCGCCTATGAGGAGTTTGTCAAGCTTAAACCTGCCACAAGCATCCCCTTATCGTTATGCCCGCCAATCACCAAAGCCTAAAGGAAAGGAGCCATGAACTCAAAATAGTTATTAATTAGTTCTTCATATCTGACCCGAGGTTTTGCTGATTGGAGCTGAATATTCAGCTTCCTGTTTCATCGATTCTTTCTGATTCAAGAGCGCGTTGCAGAAGCTTATACCCAGATCAAAGAGATGGTCTGTGGAAAAAAACTGAAAGCTTGGCAAGTTTAGAATGTTTCGGATCCTGGTTTGTGTTCTTTGAGTTGATGGAACTCGAAAACTATCTTTGGTCCTAAAGGTCTAAAGATTTTGATCCTTATGATTTTTAATGTGTAGAAATGTAAAGTTTGAGAGTGTAAAGTTCTTCTATAAAGGATAAAAAAAAACCTGTTGTCTGTATAAACTTATGTAAGCCCTGTAACATATGTTCTGATGTGCATTGATTTTTTTCATCTTTTACTTGGTTAAATGGATACACTACATATGGAAGAAGCAATTCAAAGACTATACCATGTTATGATAAAAATACAACATTTCTTACTGTCTTACATTACTTTACTTCTTTCATACTCATATAGAGAATTTAAGGGTGGGCAGAAAAAATAGCCGCAACCGCAAAAACCGAACAAATCCAACCCAAATAGTTAAACCAAAACTAACCAAAATGAATTTATTATCCGTTTGGTTTCATATTGAAAAATCCACAACAAAAAACAGAAAAAATGAAACTGTCATAAATTAGTGTTTTTTTTTTTCTTTTTGTACATCAAATTAGTGTTTTTTTTTATGGTGGATATAAATCGTATATGTAAAAGTATGGTTTCACTCTCTCTTTATTGGTACACTTGATATTTAATTTTTAAAAATATAATATTATTTTTAATTAAATAAAAACACATTTAATCATATACATTAGTCCATACTTTTATTCACACTTACTACTAAAATGTAACTGAAAATTATATAAGTTTTCTAAGATTATTGGTTTTCTTTATTGAATTTTTATTAAACACACTATAAATTTAATTATGATTCCTCTAATTTAATTATTTTAAAAATGTAACTTACATCACTTTGTATCCTATAAATATTCATTCTCACATACTCATCTACCATATCTCATATCTTTATTATTTTCTTTGTTTTTCTTTTCAAATTTTTTGCATGGGGTAAAAACTCAATTAAGATGTCATTGTAAGAGTTTGATTAAATATTTGGTTTAAAATTGTGTTTCAATTTTATTTTATTTTCGTTTTATGCATTTCTTTATTTCCTCATTTTTCTATATTTTTAAATGTAATACATATATATAATAATATTTTATGGATATAAGAAAATTATTTTATTGATGAGATTTAAAAATATTGATTTCCGACCATCGCACAATAAGAAAATCAAGCTACAGAAACCATATTCATTCTTTTACTTTGGATGTTTATTTTTTTCTCACATATTCACTTTAATTTTTTAAATTATGTAACTTTTTAACAAAATAATTTTTTGTTAAATAATTCTTAAACCAATTTGTAAGACATTCTTTTAAGAATAAGGATCCTTATATTTATTTTTGATTCAACATTTAATAATATAAAGAACATTATAATTTTTGTTAACTTTGAATTTTATACTTGATTTCCTATCTGAAAAACAATTTGATATTCAATTTTATATCTATTATATATACTACAAGGATGAATTCTTCATTTCTTCATTTTTTTATATCTTTAAATGTAAAACATATGTATAATAATATTTTATGGCTATAAGAAAATCAAACTAAATTTTGAATCACAAACTAAGTTTAATGATCATTATCTTTAAAAGAATGTCTTACAAATTTGTTTGATTACTATACAACAAAACATTCTTTTGTTAAAATAATTACATATTTTTGAAAATAAAATAAATATACATGAATATGTGAGAAAGAAACAAACATCCAAACTAAAATGATGAAGATGGTTTCTTTAACTTGATATTGATAGAAAATTGAATATTAAACTGTTTTTTATATAGAAAATCAAGTATAAAAATAGAAAAATAAGGTTTCACTCTCTGTCTATTGATATTTATTTTTTTAAAATATAATATTTATTTTTAATTAAACCAAAAACACACATTAACATATACATTAATTCATACTTTAAATTCACACTTTACTACTAACATGTAACTGAAAATTTATAAAAGACTGTTGGTTTTCTTTATTCAATTTAATTAAACACACTATAAATTATAATTATGACTATTTCATTTTCAAAAATAGTTTGGAAGTTTAGGATTTATTTATAAAAGTGCTGCAAAAATGTTAATATAGATTTGAACATAAACATATACAAAACGAGGATTTTGAATACGGATCGGGTCGGGTCTGGTCATGTTGAGTCGGGTTTGATACCGGTCTAATTTAAAAATCAGAACAAAATAAATCGAAACAAAGCAATTTCCAATGGAGCAGAACCCTACAAAACAGAACAATTTCTCCAAATCTTCCTTTCAATCATCCTTGAAAAATCTCAGCTTCGCGTCACATGGATCAATGCCATCTTATGCACTCCATGACTATCTTATACTCCATGGATTTAAATGGCTATGTTTTACATTTTGAAGTTTTTGGAACGAGTCTCAGTTCTCAGTTCGTTTATCCTTCCACAGCCAATATGATATTTCCATCTTGCAACTAATGCGGTTCTTGATCAATGAACCATCTTTAACCATCATTAGTTGTCATGGGACTATCATCTATTAGCCATGGTCTAAGTATTGTCATGGGAACATCTTCTTCACAAAAACTAGGTCGTAACCCGCGTAAATCCCTGAGGGAAACTAGGTCACTACCCTTTTTTCTAGTGATATTTCAACTATGGATCTCTGTTTCGAGTAACAAGTAAAAGAGAGAGCGTCTAGTCTCTCTAATTTTAACGATTTGGTTTTGGTAGTATATAAACAGATGGAAGCTAACGGCGATTAACAAGATATTGTTCAAGACGGATTTGTTGCTTGTTTTAGAAAACTACAGAAATATACCATTTTTGGTGTATATGATTAGTTCAAGATATTTTAAATAAGCATTTAATATAGTGATAACTTTTAGTTTAAAAAATCAATATAATTTACTTAAAAAATATTTATAAAAAAAAAAACTTTGAAGCGTCTAAGTGTTAAATTTACATTACGCGAAAACATGTTGAACTTTTACACCAAACTTACGGACCACAAAAGGACTGGATGCTAGGTCCGGTTTGTTTTCAACGTATTAAAATTTAACACTTAGATACCACAAAAGAAAAAAAAAACATTTTGGTTAAACTAAAATTTAAAACTATTTACTTGAAAATTATTTGGTAAAAACTTTGACATTTAGTTTTAAATCATAAAAACCAAAAGTGAAAAAAACATAAAATCTTTTTTACCTTTTGTATATTTTTAAATCTAAATCATTATTCTTAATTCAAAACAAAAGTTAAGAAAGTATATGAGTATACCATGAGTATACCTGCAAAGTTGTGATGTCGTTCTCAGCTACTTGTTTGTTACACATAATACAAAACAAACCTATGAGAATCAGAGATGTAATTTTTATTTATAATACCACACATATTCAGTTTTCAAAACCAGATTAAAAGATGACTACTATATTACGAACCTGCTTAATACCTTGATTCGCTATATAATACTTGACATATGAGGATATGAATGTCCTTCTTTTCCGGTTCTCGTTCCAGCTTCTCGAGGACACGTTTCATGACATACTTGGTTGTCTTGGCTGTCAAGTAAATGGCCAGTGTGTTCTAAGTGAGCCACTTGCATGAAATAAACTGGCAAGCATGAGTGCTGCACATCTTCAGGTTGTTGAACCATGACATTATCTATCCGAAGCTGCTATCTAACATTGTCTGCAGATTTCTATCGCTGATGAAGATTTCGTAGCCACCCCAATGCAATGAACAAAAGAGGAAGAGAAAGGGATAATAAAAGCGTGGTAGACGCTTCAACAACAATGTTAGATTGATCTCCATCAATGTGTCCAAATCTAGCTTTAGCTTCATTTGCTGCTTTTTGAGATCCTCTATAGGCTGAATAAAGCAGAGAAAGAATTGGTATTTATAACAGAAGAGGTCCATGGAAGAGACATCAGCAGATGTATAAAAAGGCAATGAGACTAATAATACCATTTGCTTCATGAGAGAGAATAACTGAGAGACTGTAACTAGTACCTGCATCATCACTTACTTAGGATACGCAGAACCTAGACTAGAGACTGCTAATGATATAAGCTAACTCTAATACTTGAATCTAAATGAAAATCACTACAAACTTAACCAAAACTAGCAAGAATCTTTTCAAGAAAAAGAAAGTAAAGGGGTGGTACCTGAGAGAGCATGGCTGAAACAGAGAGAATCTCATTTGAGAAGTTGAATACAGGATCTGTGGATCCAAGAGGAACTCACTGATCATCATCTTCACCTGTCTTTGTCAAATTACACTTCATCATCCATTGCTCCCATATTAGCCACAAAAGTACATAAAGATTATAAAGAAGAGAAGCTAAAGAGAGACAGAGCTTACTTACTTAAGCACGGTTCTTGTTTCCTCAAAACTAACGATGTAACCAACTTCAGCATCACGACGAGAAATAAACATGGCTGCAAATTTCAGAATTAGCCAATTCATTCTCTAAGATACTAAATCATCATCATGATCTCTAATTAAATCATTCCTAATCTCAAATAGAAATCAAGAAGACGAGGGCTCTTCACTGGTGAAAGCTTCTCTGTGGCTAGACTCAGAATTCCACCGGAAGAAGAAGAACAGAGGAGATCGATCTGATCTTTATCATTCAAATTCAATTAACGAAACGAAACGAAACAAAACGATGATATAATAATACTTTTTCCAATTTTACCCTTACGGATCATCATCGCCTTGATCGTGTTCTACGTCTCGCTCGAATCTTCTCCTTCACTTTTCCAATTTCGTCGGAGTCTCTGGTGAAACCGATACTGATTCAAAATTAAGAAGAAGACAGAGATCGATCGATCTATCATTCAATCAATGAAACGAAAACGATTATATAAAATACTTTACCTTTACGGATCTTTAGGGTTTTAGGGTTTAGAAGAGGAAGAAGAAGAGAGAGTTTTGAATTATCTCTCATGGATGAATGAAGAAGAAGAAAAAGAAGCGTTGAGTTGTGAGAGGGGAGTATTTGGATAAACAAAGAGAAAATTGATATTTAATCTCACAACGGTCAGACGTAATTATATTTTAAAGGAAAATCAAGAGATATCGTTTCTATTATTTCCTTTTCTTTTTTCATCCTAACGGTAACAAAATATTACTAGATACAGTTTCTAAGCAGTAAAGTTCAAAAAATTTCAAATTTCAAATTTCAATTCTGAAACATGCAATTCATATAGGGAAAAACCTCTATAAATTAATAATGTTGGGACTATAGAAATTTATTAATTTATAGTGATTTCAATTTATCTTTATTAATTTATAGTGGTATTTTAACTTTTATTTTTTTTTGAAATTATGAATTGGGACAATTTTACAAAATTAGATTAATTTTTAAGATTATATAAATTTTTGTAGTTTAGAATTGAATTCTATATTTATATATAAAAAAAATAACAATGAATTAAAAATTTTATAAATAAATCTACTTCTATACAAAGTACATCCATAAATTCAAATTTATGATTAATACCTCAATTGTTATCTTTTAACATCCTATAAAACAAACAAAAAATGAATATGATGCATATTTATAAATAGAAAACATTAAAACAAATTTGATTACTTTATGATGTTATGGAATATATTATAAGATTATAGTTTAAAAATATAACATAATTTTTTTTATAAAGATGAGGTCTAGGAGAAATTCATTTTTAGAAAAAACTAAAAGCATATTTCAACATAATTACTTAACCAAAATAAAAGCATATTTCTATATATATATATATGTATATATATGATTTAATTTATGTTATTATTGGGACTATATTTACATAGGGATTTCAAAAAAACTTATTATCTTATTATCTTATCGAATTTGGTTAATTTTTACACTGCCCCGACTCGGGACCAGCAAAATTTATTAATTTATAGTGTTTATTAATTTATAGAGTATTAATTTATAGAGGTTTTACTGTATGTATCATGTTTTCATACGTTATAAATTATACCCAACGTAACATATGATAATGATTTGAAGGAAAACAAACATATGCAAAACTACGGATCGGTTCGGGTCATGCCGGGTCGGGTTTGATACCGGTAACACAATAAAGTTTAGTAAGTGAAATAATCGAAACAGAGCAATATTCCCAGTGGAGCAGAACAGAACCTTAAAACCCATAGGTCATGGCGAATTGGTGATACAATGGGAAGCTCAATCTCATTCTCCAAATCTTTGTCTCTTTCTTTTCGATTCCACAACCAACCCTAAGAACACACTGCAAAAGCCTCAATGTTTCAATCATCCTAAAAAATCTCAGCTTTTTCGTCACATGGATCAATGACGACGACGACGAAGAAGAAGCCACATGCAAAGAAGAGACTGTCTTCGTGTTCATGTTTCTTGGGTTTTGCTCAATGCTGAATCCACAGCAAATTTCAAAGCTTTAGACAATCATATCGACGTTAGACTTCTTCTTTTACTTCCTCTAGTCTTAGACTTCAATTTGGCGATTGATTCTTGTGAAAAGGCGGCGCCTTTGAGGATTGATTCTTCCAATGGGAGGAGTTCATATTTACTGTAGAAATTTCTCAACTAGGTCAACAAAGAAGGAACTTTTTGATTTCTCTGAAAAGGTTGTCGTCTATTAGTTGGTGAGAATCTGATGATCATTGGTTTGGTACTTGTTGTTGTTTGTTTGGTGGGATCAGTGAGAAGATGGTTATTAAGTACACAAATTCGTATACTTGCTCTAGTGGGTTGTGTTTACTTAGTACTACTACTGTTTTTGCTTAGCAAGGATGATCTTGTAGAATGTTGTAGCAAGGATGATCTTGTAGAATGTTGTATATTTCTTCTTTATTTTATGTGCTTCTTCGTTTCTTCATTGTTTTCTTATACTATTAAATGTATAATACATATATATATATATACTAGCAGTTGACCCGCGCTGCGCGCGGGAGGTTTATAATTTTTTGTTAATTTTTTATTCATATTGTGATATTTTATTTATTTTTAATTGATTTTCAAAACATATTATAGTTATTTTATCTTGAATTATTATGTTTCAATATTTAAATTTGGATAAAAGCATTTTCTTATTGATCATGTTATAAACTAATATTTCACTTTCAATTTTATTTTTTCCCTTTAAAATTTTATATATACAATTACATAAATGTTGTTTTTATTCTACCATAAATTTAAAATTTACTTACATTCTTAAACTCAGTAACACATATAAAATTTTAAACTATGATCATTTTAAAATGAAAGTTGAGTTATATTAATACCACTAACTAATAAAAAAATGAAAGTATTTCTTATTTAAAATTTCATTTATTTACATAATTTATTTTTATTTATATAAATTTTCTATTAATTAAATAAGTAGCATAAATATGCACTAAATGAATGTTTTAAATTTATTTTAATGTAAACAAAATGTGGCTTAGGTGGATACTTAGGTGGCATCATAAGAAGAGAGAAAAAGCTAACTTTATATATATAGATATAATAATATTTTATGGCTATAAGGAAATTATTTTATTGATGGGATTCAAAATATTGATTTCCGACCATTGCACCATAAGAAAATCAAGTTAAAGAAACCATCTTCATTCTTTTACTTTAGATGTTTGTTTCTTTTCACATATTCATATATATTTAATTTATTTTCAAAAGTATGTAATTATTTTAACAAAATTATTTTTTCTTATATAATTATCAAACCAATTTGTAAGACATTGAAATAAATAAACTTTTATACACAAATAAAGGTAATTTGTGTGTATATTTATAAGCTTATACACATATTTGGATAAATTTCAACATTTTTAGTAGTTTTTTGATAATGTTTGAAAAGGTGGTAAATTTAAAAAGTGGTATTTGAAAAGGGGTATTTTTTAACTTCTCCCAATATCATTTCTATTTTTATCATTAACAATATTATTGTTTTATCAAAAAATACTCGAAAGTACTAAAGAAAATTACTAAAAAAATTGAACAATTAATCAACGAATAAATTCAAGATATATCGATTTATGTTTCTATTGTAAGATTTAAATAAATAAAGTGTAAAATTTTCATAAACATTGAAATTTATTTATTCTATTTTTATAAGTAATAAATAAATTAAAATTAATTAACTAAATATACAACAACTCGCGCATATGCGTGGGACATTACCTAGTATAAATAATATAAGAAAATTTTATATCCGCAAAAAAATAAAGAAACTGAATCAAAGAGAAACAAGAGAGAGAGAGAGAGATTTTACATCTTTTAAATTGAAATTCGTAAAAGTGTGTATTACAACGTTCTATTTAGGAGGTTCATAGGAGTTTTAAGAGCATCTTTAAGGGGATAAATGGGAGGATGTAGCTTAGGGATTTTTAATTAGTATAATAATGGAAGAGATTAAGTTAAGAACCAAATTTATATAGTTGATTATTGGTTGAACCTCTATAATCTTAAAAAATTATTAATTTAATAATGTAAAACATATTTAAAATATGTAAAATAATAAAAATAACTTTTAAATGGAAAAAAACATAAAATTGAATAGAAAATAAAAAGAAAGAGAAATACAATTCAAAATTATTATAAGAAAATGAAAATGGATTTCGATTTCGATTTTGACGGTGTAATAGAGGAGGAGAAGACAAATCGATTTGGGGGAGAAAATAAAAAATGAAAAATGTTTTTGCTTTTACAATTTTCTAACCAATTCCCACGAAACACATGACATAAGACACCCCCTCAAAAACATCTTAACATAAACCCGAATACCCCTTATCGATTCACTGTTTTATTATTTTAGCTTTTGTTTAATGTCCTAAGACCCGACAGCTTATGGCGATAAAGATGGCTTTAGGAGGTTCATAAGCAGGGGCGGACCCACATAGAAGAAAGTGGGGGCAGTTGCACCACCAACCTATTTAAAACTAAAAAATTTACATTAAAATTAAAGTTATAAGTGTCAAAATGGTTACAGTGCCCCCATGTAGTGTTTGAGGTCATGGGTTCAAGCCTCATGTGCTACTTTTTGCATCCATTTAATTTTTTTTTCTGGGTCCGCCCCTGTTCATAAGATGCAATTTGTATAATATAAAATTAAAAAATAATTAAAAAAGAGGAGAGAGAGTGACCAGCATTCTCCAACCTCTTAGACGATTTTCTATTGTTACGTGCATCATTTCCGTCGTTTTCTTTAACTAAGATTTCTCGTACTTGTAATTCAAAAGCAGATTGTCTGGCTCGTTCTTCCAGATCTCTTGATTCGGAAGTTACTTTTGTAAACAACTTTCCTCCAGTTTGGGCTACCAACCATGGAGTTCAATTTTAATGAATGTGTGGTTGATAAAAAAAAAGAGGATAGAGAGTAGACCGAGGTTCGTAAATAAGAGTTTAAGATACTCTTTGTATGAGACTAAATACATATATTTTGTTTATTTGGCTCAATCTTTTATGGGGGATTTGCACAACTAACCTTTTTATGATACCATTTTCTATAAGTACCCTCTCTAGGTGTCCATTTTCAAAAAATACCCATTTCAATGTACAAAATGACTAAATTACCCTCCTTTATGATAACCCATGATGAAGAAAGGAATATTCTTTCCAACAAAAAGAATATTCTTTCCGAAAAATTTTCCGACAAAAAATTTCAACCAAAATTTTTCCCGCCAAAAACTTTTCCGCAAAAAAAATTCAGCCAAAATTTTTCTGCAATTCCTTTAAAAAACTTTTAAAAAACCTTGTAAATATTTTTAAATCCCTTTAAAATCCTTTAAAAACCCTTGTAAATCTTTTAAAATTCATCCAAAACCTTTCAAAATTTGACTAAACCTTTTAAAACCATTGTTAATCATTTTATAACATTTATAAACACATGTAAATCCCTTTAAACCCCTTATAACCGTGATAAAT